CCTCCCGGCGTGTGGCTTAAGTACGGCTGAGCGGACGGGAAGCCCTGTTCTCCACACCCTGTGGTCGTATGTACTAGCTTGCCCTAAGTTGTCATTTATATAGTATTGTAGTCCAATATAGATTCATTAATTTCGGATCTGAGCCGTACCAGACACCATTCATTGAACCAAGTTCCACGCCTTGCAGATACCATATAGGTAGTCGCCTCCCAGCAATTTAACACCAGCCCGCAAGACGTATGCCTCTAGAGAGGCAATGTTCGGCGCAGAGATAAATTAGATAGTGCTATTCTCTTAAGGCTTCAAGATCAAACCAACAGAACATCTACCCCGAGGTCTCTAGCCACATCTCTCCAATCCACCGCCGCCAGCCCTGGGTCTATCCCGCTTTCTACACACAAGGCATCGCGTCTCTGCCACACCTCCTCGACGATCGACCTGACTGCAAGTCGGTTGCCGAGTCCAAAATGTGTCGATTGCTCCAGCCACCGGCACGATGACTCCAGGTCCCGCACCGTATAGGCCTCGACCGCCGCGATAAACGCCGGCCACAGGGAGAAGTTCCCACTGCTCTGCGCGGAAAAGGCGGTAATGTTATCGAATATCAGGGACACGTACGCTGCGACGCGCTTAGGCGGCACATCCAATAGCGCTCGGTAGAGATAGATGTAAGTTGCGTAGATGAACGCGTTGAGCTGGTATCGTGCTAACTCCTCGGATTTCAATTTAGGAACCAGTGCATTGACTTCGGAATTCGGTTCCAGCTCGATGTTTCCACCAGAGCTATCGAGTACTTCTGTCTGGAGGAGATTCAAACAGGTTAGCACCTGGGAGACAGTCCGGTCGGCCGTAATGTGTGCTCTGGGGGAGGCGTCTGATCGCATCTGTTGGCTGACCGTCGTGATGGTGGAAATACACTCCAGGATAAGTCGCTGCGCGCCGATGGTGAATCCAAACTGAGCAGTCGAGGAGATCAAGGAGGCGAATGCTAGGTCTGAATGTAGGGAGGAAGAAACTACCGGATCTGCTTCAATAGGTCTGGCTGCTGTGATCGATCTGAATTCATTGCTTGGGGGTAGCATCAATGTTGGGGTTTGGCTATCTGTCATGCAGGTGGCTCCGATGATCTTGACGATCAGTAAGCTTTGGGTTGAAAAGCAGACGAATTCGGATTCCTTCCATGGCTCTTTGCGATTGGATCCGAGAAGGAATGCCCATGCGCCCTGGAGGTGATGCTTCCATTTGCTGGAATTGCCGCTGTAGACCTGGAGTAGCGTAAGCGTTATTAGGAAGAAAAAAAAGCCAGGAGCGATGTTATATCTTACCTCTGCCATCATCAGAGTCATAATCGCTGCCAGAGTGCTATCAAAGTCTCTGCCAGATGCTTGGATAGAGTCATTCACGTATTGAATCGAGGCGTTATAGTTTGATGCGGCCAGCCGCATCATCTTCTGTCTGTCATGCCCTAAATTGGCAAAATTAAATGCTGCATGGGCCAAAATGGCGTGGTACAGTGCTTTCTCCCCGGATTCAGAGTACTGCAGCGAGACGACGGGGTAGTGCCGTTTCCAGGGATTCCAGGGATGCTCAAACGGCATCATGATAGATGCGACGTAGTTGACGTAGTGATGAAAAAGCATCTTCTCTCCACTACTTGACATCTTCGTGCTGTTGCAAACGAGGCCCTGGTTCATATTGGACACTAACGACATTGGGGTTACAGCAGGGAAGACAGAGAAGGGATTATGATCTATCTTCAGAGGCTCTGAGGCTTCGTTTGTCTCGTCATCGTCCAATTGCGCGATCAGGAAATCAACTACATGAGAGTCGAGAGCAGCATAGTTCGCCCAGGTGCGCTCTACATGTCCCTGTCAGTCGGCTCTTCGGGACATCCAAGAAACGGCATACCGCAGTGCATGTATCGCCGTCCGGTGGACCGATAGGACTCATTGCCGTTAAGCCAGACCAGACGCATACTGGAGCCATCGCACTCGAGGCCCAGCCGCGTGCATGCTGAACAAGGGGACCCCTCATCACATTTGACCTTCCGCGCACGACAGCGCCAACAGCCCTGTTCCGGATATTAGGGCAGCTCTGTCATGGCCGTGCTCATCTCACTGACCGTAAATTCCCTCCGTCGCTTTCGGGTACGTGCAACATTTCTAGTAGTTTCCATGCTCGCCTAGCAGCAAATATATATGAAGAGGGCATGTCGTCGCGAGCGAAGATGGAGAGTTGCCCTAGAGCCGTGTTCGAGATCCTTGGCGTAAGCGAGCCATTCAACATTCAGGCTAATCAAGGCTAAGGTGGTTCTAGTCTGATTTTAGTCAAGCTGATCTTGCTCAAATTTCACTAGTAACGTGCCCTCCAATGATGGGATTGGAATCCCGGCCGCACTAAATTAGATGGCCCATCTCGCTATGAGTTGCATCTTGTATCTCGGTATGAGTAGCTCGGCTTCCTCGTCGGCAGGAATTACATGGTAACTGTTGGCGACACATCCAAGGATAAATTGATCGAAATGGAAGATGTACGCCTACGGTACACGCCTCGAAAAAGTATTGTGGTATAGTATTGAGAGATGATGGGCGTCGCGACAACGAAAAAAGACAAGGATGAGGAAACAGAGTCCCAGAACATGGGGTCTCCACAACGTGCGTTAGATCCAGCTCAATGGCAATCTGTAAGTCGGAAAAGCCCATTAAGAAAGGAGTAAAACACTCTAACCTCGATAATTAGCATAGAAAGATATTCGTGGTGATCACTGGCCTTCTCATGCTGTTCAACAGCGTATTCGACTCGACGATTCCCAGCGGTGGGATTCGCTTCATCGCAGACAGTCTCCAGGTCCAGAACGAAACGCAGCTGGTTTTACCTACCTCGGTCTATCTTCTCGGTTATGTGACCGGGCCTCTTGCTTTTGCTCCCTTGAGCGAACTTCATGGCCGACGTATCGTGCTGGTCGGAACCTACGTCCTATTCACCATCTTCACTTTAGCCTGTGCCATTGCTCCGAACTGGACTGCCTTGATCATCTTCCGAACTATCTGTGGAATTTGCGCATCGAGCCCGATTGCAGTCACGGGGGGCCTTTTCGCTGACGTTTATCGCTCTCCTCTGGCTCGTGGGCGGACCATGGCTCTGGCAATGATGGTGACGACCGCCGGGCCTCAGTTCGCTCCCCTTGTAGCAGGATTCATTGGTCCGGTGGGGTGGCGATGGATTTTCTGGATATCCCTGATCATCGCCGGTGTCAGCCTTATTCCCGTTTTGTTCCTCCCAGAGACGTCCCAGTCCGCCCTTGCGAAGCAGAAGACGGAGAAACAAGGAGATGGATTCGTCCTGAAGGCACTCTCCCGACCTCTGTACATGCTGTTTTGCGAACCGATCATTTCGTTCACATGTCTCTACCTCTCCTATGCCAGTGCAATCTTCTGTAAGTGATATTGTTTCCGATCACAACGACATGAAATTGACGATCCAAGTCATGTACTTCGAGGCATATCCCCTGATATTCCAGGGCATTTATGGCATGAGCGATGGAATCGCCGGCCTAGCATTCATTCCGAGTAAGATTCATTTATCGCCCAGAACCATCATCCTTGGCTGCCCTAGCTAACATTTATTCTAGTTGCTGTTGGAGCTTGCATCGGGATGGCGCTTTTCTTGTGGTATGACGCGATACTCCAGCGTGCAAAAGCGAGAAAGGCCAGCTGGTCCACCATCGAGGAATACCAACGACTTCCCCTGGCGTGTCTTGGGGGTCCTTTATATGTGCTGGCCTTGTTCTGGCTGGGCTGGACTGCCTCTGCGGGGATTCACTGGATTGTGCCCATGCTGGCTGGGATACCGTTTGGGATGGCCTTTTTCCTCATTTTTGTCGCCCTCATCAATTATCTGGTTGACGCGTATCACGAATACGCCGCCAGCGCTATGGCAGCAGCCAGCTGTTGTCGTAGTGTTTTTGGTGCCGTTTTGCCACTTGCATCCACTCCTATGTTTCGTCAATTGGGAATCGCTTGGGGGTGTAGTCTTCTAGGGTTTTTGAGCCTTCTGATGACTTTGATTCCGTTTGTTTTTATTCGGTATGGGGATCGACTTCGAGCAAGGAGCAAATTCCAGCAGGGACTACGGAATTAAGGTAGATGGATGGTTATGGTTGCAGGAGAATCAAGCGAGTTATCAACATGGAGGGGCGCTTTCAGTTGCAACGACCCAGATCTCCCTACTGCAAGCTCAATTCGCACGAAGTATTCCCTGGCAGCGGAGCAATGGTAGAACGTTGGGAAGAATATATAGTCATTTAGAATGTTTTATGCCCATAATACGTCAAGAAATGCACGGCAACTCATACCGAGCAGTCTTTACAACTGATCAAAATACCTGGGCCAGATATTACAGCCTCTCAGCTCTCTAGTTTCCTTTCAAGTCGTCCCTTTCAATATAGCCGGGATGGTCGTCTCCAACGCAGCAACGGTGACATCCAACTCTTTCCATGGCCACAAAAAAAATAAATAAATAAAAAAAAGCAGAATTTAAGCTTGATTTTGGTTCTTGTATCTATTTATACTCCTTAACTATTTGAGAAAGGCAGCTTCTAGGTCATTTGAATTTAATATATCCATCAAGCTGAATCTCTTTTCAGCTGTGAGACAAATACGGGGCAACGAGGCAGTGCTGCTGACCTGCCAAGCCCTAAACCATGATCACTCTGAGTGTTTTGATTGACGGGACAGACAACAGGCAATCCGGCCCCCAGTAATCACTGTGCCCAAAGTGAGACTTGTGCGCCCTATAAGTGGAACCGCTAAAGGAACTAGTTCGTAGCTAAGAGGCTGAGCGAAGCTTCAGATGATGCTAGCTCCTTTAAATTCTGTTCCCTTCCCCCCAAGGTAAAGAGCTGATAGTAGATCACCGACCCTTTCCATCGTTCATTTGAAGCTCACGATGTCTCATCCACAGCCTGCTCTTGATGTCTTCTTCTACTTCCAGAAACAAGAACTCAAGCTCAGCTTCAATTCGCCCAATCAAGCAGCATCCTACCAAAACCGCAATCGAGAATCCCGCATCTTCGCCAACGAGCCCAGCGCCGTTTACCTCCCGCTAGCTCCGTCCATGGTCTACCTGCGCGACAGTAGCAAAGGGCTTGTCATTGGCTTCGCCAAATCAGAGGATGCCGATCTGTGGTGTCGGACATCTATCCTGGGCCAGAAACACGGCCACTATGAAGTGCACATCGGCCGCGGATGGACAGACGAGCAGCTGAACCAGGCCCTCCAGATCCAGCATCTGCCCTACGTCCCGAAAAGCAACAGCCGACCTCAGAGTATACAATCCAATATAGAGCCCACTCCGCCGTCGAGCTCAGGGTCGGACTCAAACTTGAAAGCCTCATCCAGTATTCAAGGGCTCCCGCTTTCCCAGGACGAATCTCCGTCCTCCTGCCAGTCTTCTAGAACCTCGTATATACCGTCTGCACTTGCTATTGGCTCAAGTAAGACTGCGCAAAGATCAAAATCTCCTGGTCGTGCTTTACCGCCCTCCTTGCTGCCTCAAGGAACGGCTACGCCTCGCTATTCGGCCCAGGACGGGTTTCAAGCATCGATACCTTTTTAACCCACGCTTTGCTGGCCTATCTCGCTAGTCAGTTGTACCTTTCAGCTTTCTGTTCTTCGTCTGCAGGACCTTGTCCTGACATCATCCTACCACCAGGCAGGAGGGTTCATCCTGGGCCAAGAGAGACTGGTTGAACATCAGTTGTCTGGTCTTCATGTGTCATGAAATTCTTTTTTCTTCTCTACCATTGCATAACCCTCCAATCCTTTTATTATTCTCTTGAGGCAATATCCGTAAACCCGAGATTAGCATAGCATTCACAATCGTGTGATTCTTCGAACGTGCGACGTTTCTGACTCAATTGCACTATCCATCTATTATCCATTTATCATAGGATCTATACAAATCCCTTCTGGGGACAAATTGACCATTGGCGGGCTCCTTGGTGGGAACAATGGTCCTACTGGACAAATTTCATGACTATCTAGTTTTGATTCTGGACGAGGCAAACGTCCTGTAGATGTATCTGCGGCATTTGACGTTCATCGTGTATCTAGGGTTTTACATTGGTTTGCGATGCTTCCCAGATCTCACCAGGCCTTACAAGAAACATCAGTCATCGTGATAATACTGTAATATTGTTTAGAACCACGCAGAAGCTTTAATATTGTCACTTTTCCCTCATTCTTCTCGAGTGAAAGCACAGCATTTCATGTAACGTTGTACGCCCGCCAGTCATCACACAGAACGCTATGCTTTGAGGTGTATAGAGCTAATCCTGGCAAGGAAGATATTTACTTTTTCTCCGTGGATCTTGTTATCTGCGGCGCGTCTTATTCGTGTATTCGTTACCACTTCTCGAATCTAACATGGCTCATCCCGCAAGCTTAACTTGAACGGACCATTCTACCCCTAGGTGGCCTTCCCAGAGCTGGCCGACAGGACAGACGCAGAGTCGTCTCGAAAATTCATCTCCTCCAACAGATCCACCACGGTCGAGGGTGATGAACCGAAGAATTCTTGGGGCGACTGTGCATTCTTGGGAATCGATCAGCCGAGATTGATCGACCTGTCGATCAATCGATAGTTCCCGGGTCCTTACTCCGTATGCAGGATCGATTCAGCCTCAGTGAATGCCAAGCTAGACACAATGCTAGGGGTTCTGCGACGGAAAGTCTGCATAAATAGATAGGATACTTCAGTCCCCCTCAATTTTTCAAAGGCAAACTTCGCCACTATTTAAGTGGTCATCTTTCCTCCGTTACCTTCGCATCTTCTTATTATCTCTGCCTTCTCGAATCAGCTCATCTCTTCTACACGTCTCCTTGATCGTCCGATATGAAGTTCCTCGCCATAATTTGTGTTCTTTCCCTTACCAGCTTCGGCGTTGCCAGCCCCATTGAGCAACAAGCACAAGCTACATGTGCGACGTGCCCTCAGGGATGCCTTCGAACTGATACGGGTGATTGCTTTCCTAACTGGCCTCAAGCGACATGCGAACTTTCTAGCGGAGTAAGTAATTCTTCAAAAGCTCGGTGTCGATTATTCGGGATTCTAATTATAAACACAGCAAGGGTGGCAATGGTGCCCATAAAGCAGAGACGGTTCTCTATAGGAGAACCTCGCGAATATTGGCCGATACCGTATTCATGACACATGTTGGCGCAACAGTCTGGAAGAAGCGCATCTCCTTGGAGAGAGGGCATCTAGATTGCACCTTCTATCGCGTTACCTAGAATTACCGTATCTTACATTCTATATGAATCATGATGAAGTGTCAGGAAGTTGAGTGACAGAGAACTAGCGTGCGTAGAGAAGTTTCAGTGTAAAATACATTGGTTATTATAGAAAGAAGTCAGAAATATGACGGATACCTTTTCCGGGAATGAAATCGTAAGAGTATAAGAGTTATCCTCAGCCTAACTGGGTGGAAAGGCAGCCGTTTCTGGCGCCAGAGGCTGTCATTTTCGGCGTCGATTTCTCAGGTCCTCAGATTCTTGGTTGTAATAGGAGCAGGGATATGAGGTTTTTTCAACACCATATTGTTTTGAATCACATCGCCCTTTCAGAAGTTCGAATTTCATCCATTTCTCCCTAGTATGACTATCTGACCTGTGTTTCACTGCCCCACTTAACCCCGGTCATTTTCCCCCTCATCGTGTCCTCGTCCCTCGTCTCAGCGCCGATTTTAAGCTCAACTCTCACTGGCTGGTCTGCTTTCGAAAGCTGACCCGGCACGGAAGACCGTCGGCGGGGTGGGAGCCTCCCAGTGGAATTTGGTAGGCGCGTTCGCCAAAGACGGTCTTGGGCCCCGGCCGGAGATGCAGACGGTCCCATTCGGCGTACTGGTCTTGGAAGTCGAACTCTCGGAGCGTGAGGACTAGAGTGATCTTGATGTCCAGTAGAGCCAGCGGTTGACCGATGCAGTCTCGCGGACCATGTTCAAAGGGACGCCAGGCTCCTTTCGGAGGATACAATGGGTCCTCTGGTCCAACTAGCCAGCGCTCTGGCTTGAAAGCGTGTGGATCCGGCCAGTAATTTGGATTCCGTTGAAGACCGGTATGGAGAATCCAGATACATAGGCCATCTGTCGGGTACTTGGTACCATTTTTATCCTGTAGATAGACCCCCGGCTGACCCTCTCGTAGCGCAGAGGCAGCGGGAAAGAGACGCAGCGTTTCCTTGATCACCGCGAGTGTATATGGGAGCCGGTTGATCAACTCTGGGTGCTGCTTCAGTTTATCTGCCGCAGTTGTTATATCCGACCCGAATACCTCGTCATGCTCGCTGCGAACCTTTGCCAGTATTTCTGGATGTTTTGACAAAAGATAGATGCTATACACAATCGTAGCAGCCGTAGAGTCGTGGCCAGCAAATAAAAAGGTCCGGATTTGAATCGTCGCCCACTTCTTAAACTCAGGGTCTAGTTTATCGCCGGCTGTGCGAGTACTCATAAATTCAGCAAGCACGATATCAATGATAGAATTGGCCCGTGTGGAAGATTGTTGTCTCCATACTTCGTATCGCTTGTCCAGTTCAATCCCAATGTAACGGTTCATCGTCCGTCCATTGTACCACTGCATAAGTGGTCGCATGGGATTCCATCGAATAAAGGGATTCATCTGCTCGTCCTGGCAATGCCACTCGACCGAACTTCTCATCGCTGCTGCTACCGCATTGTGTCTACGCTGAGAATGAAGATGTGCTTTCCTGTTAGTGACGATATTAGTTTGGATTCTTCTATCCTCAGGTTGTCCAAGGAAACCCACATGGCAACGTATCCAATAATGTCCATAACATAGTCACAGGTCATTTTATCGAGCGTAAACATATCTCCCTTGCGCGCATGCTCGCGAAGGATCTCCACGTACACTTCGGCTTCTTCGACAATATAGGGAGTATGCTCAAGAATATTACTGGCACTAAATGCAGGATTGAACAGTCCGCGGGCGTGCTTCCATTCGGGGCCATTGGTCACGAAGATACTGGGACCCCCGGTAAAAGGATTAAAAAACTCAGCGAGGACCGGCGGCTTTGGCAACGCATAGGTTTGAGAGGCCTGCACTGCTAGATCCGGCGAAGTGACCACCAGTAACGGTTTGGTAAAGGGCCAGACATCAATATAAAAGCAATTATCGTTGTTTGGGAACTCGTAGGATAGCAACGTAAATGCTTCCGACTGCTGGGACCCTTTGGGATGTCGCTTCATTAAATCGGGCAGCATCCGCAAATTTCCTGCTGCGAAATCCCACTGGGGCATTGGCTGCGCGAGCTACTGTCAGCCAGTCCGTCCATCGTCAGGGATTCTTCTCGTCCGGATGGCATACCAGGCCTTGCTTTCGCAAGCGATAGAAAAGCAGGCGTACTTTGAACATCTCGTGAAAAAATCGCACGATCAAGATAAGGGCCACCGCCAGAGCCACTCGGGCCCCGTACGTGGTGGCCAGACTGAGGATTGCAGCTGCCATAGAGAAAAATAACTGGAAGTTAGATTGGTGAAAAGGAAGCAAAAAGAGAAATCAAATAAGATCCAAAGGTCGAGAGAGAAGGAAACACGGCTGGTGCGAAGTTTAGCGGCAAGCAGCCCTAAGAGGGAAAAAGGAGGAAAGGAACGATAAGCAGGGATCGATGTGGGAGATCAGGCAATTCGGAGTCAAAACAATCCACTGCCCCAGTTTGTTGCAGGGATTCGATTTAGTTCAACCTTTTGGCCCGGGCCCCCGCAGAACACATTGGAAGGAGGTAAACATACTCACAGGTTCGTTGCCTTGGATGATGATGTGCCCATCCTCCTCCATGCATGCATGTCATTCTTCGAATACCCTCTATTGACCCAGCTCTTCTCTGGAATCCTCCATCATGATACACGTGTCTCTTGAACACTGCCGTTGTCAACATTGCAACAGGACCACGATGTCCGCATTCCTAAAACTGCCTTCGTGGTAAGGATAGTGCAGTCTCCCTAAGTCCCTATCTAGTGTCAGTGGCCAGTCTGCTCATGCCGTGGTCTAGGAATCCACCACCGTAGTATTCCTCGCCTTAGTGCTTGCTGGGGTGGTTATTCAGTGTGTGATTCGCTTTCGCACGCAAAACCAGCGATAAACAGACCGATTCTCTGTTTGAATCATGGTCGGATAAAACAGCCACGGGTGGATTCGAGCGTCTATCACAAAGCCGCGGTGACTCCAACCCATCTATGGAGAATGTTGAATGGCATACCATGTCCGACCACTCTCCAGCCAGCCAGACCTATAATGCGACGTTGGACCCTGAGGCTGGCACTGACCCCATCCATACTAAGGAACTTCCAACCGAACCTGCGAGCATTTTGCAGAAGACCAATTAAGGTATTCGTGTCGTGCTATAACCACTACTAGTAGGTCGCGAATGTATGAGCTCAGCCTACCTTACTAGCACAGTTCTACAGCAGCCATAGCAAGAGCGTCTCACTGAGTGATCTTTTTGAACAAAGGGCAACAAAATGCGCATTTGGAACTAGGGCTTTTGTGGCCTTGCATAGCGGTACTGCCTGTGGGAAAACACACAGGGGAGGCGATAGAGCGACCTTCCAACCGTCACATCATTAAATTGAGATGTAAATATAAGATATAGCTTAAGAAGCTATAAGATATCTGAAATCTAGTAAGATATAAATAAATGAAATATGTCAGCGCGAACAGTATACCCGCTTGCCCATATGATAGTGGTAGCTAGTCATATTGCACTTTACACACAATACAAAAGGTACAAAATAGATACATAATAGCTTTCAAGGACGATAGAAGGAATCGTAATCATAGTCAGAAATAAAAGCATGGCATAGTTTGTGAATACTAGCTTGTGTATTTCTAGGAGTAGTATATAGTAATAATAGTATACTGTCTCGCAGCCAGGGCATTTCAGGCACCAACCAACATAATTCGATAATCTTCAATACCTGGATCAATCCATGTAATTTGCACATCCGCTAACAATCTCCAAAAAAGTTGAAACAAACGATACACAAAACCATCGAACCCAATTCACCCCACGCATATACAAAAAACCAGCGCCAAGAAAAAAAACAACAGAAGGACAAAAATAAGCGCGCGGCTAAGCCAAACTTTCCGCTCCGACAGCATTCATTTCCCCGAAAAGGCTCTCCAGACCAGACCATCGAACTCGCTCCTCCGTCACCCCCCCCCCCAACTCTCACGCCATGCGGTCCCTCTCGCCCGTGCTCGCCTCCCTGGCGAACGTATTCAGAATCCCCATCTCGCAGACATCGACACGGCCGTCCGTGACCCGCATGTGCAATGAAGCCCTGCTGAAGAAATCGACCAGCGGCCCCGTCACCTCCGCCGTCCAGGCCCCGGCCGCCAGATCATTCTCGACTACCAACGCCTTGCTCAAGAGGAAGGGCAATGGTCCTCGCGGAGATCGCCGAGTTAGTATGTATATCCCATCTATTGTTATCCCCAATTGGGATCTTGAAGTCATCGGTCGTGTGATGACATTGAGGATCACCGCAATGGACAAGTAAAGGGAAAAAAAAGTCTAACTAAGGCCATTGTAGCTCTGATCCGTTATTTCCTGCACCACCCCAAGACGCCTCGTCCCCTTCGTTTCTCCCGGACTCGCTATCTCCGCCATTGGACCATCCACCGTGCCTGGCAACTGTTCCAGGCGCAGCAGCGCCGCTCCGAGCAGCTGGAGCTTCAGCGCCAGTGGCAGGCGATGAACGCCGCGTGTGAGGAGCTCCGGACTGGAGCGGGAGATGGAGGCAAGCTGTTCCGGAAGTCGATGAACAAGCGCGGTGTTTTTAGAGATCTGTTCCCGATTGAGTATGGTCGGTTGCAGACTGAAGCGCCGAGTCAGGAGGGCTGGAACCATGAATGGAAGAGGATGGAGAAGAAATGAACTTAAGGGGAGGGTTAGTGTGCACTTATTCCAGGAGGGAGATATACGCTGAGCTTTGGTGTCTCTTGTTTATTATATCTATTGCGGGGTATGAAGATATTCTTGTTGGCATGTACTGTACCATTAACATTGTTCAATATTTGTTATTTCTTTGAGATGACGCGTTTGGTCTATAGGGTATGCTCTGTCGAGTATCTGGTCTACGGGCCGGGTAGGGAAGTAATTTGAGAGTCGAGAGTTGTTAAAGACATATATTGCAGGTTGACAGCTATTGGTAGTATCAAGATGGCTGACAGTAAAGCAGGAAATATCAATCGCTAAAGATAGAAAATGTGCTAGGTAGTGTGAAGACATGGGAAAGAAGGGAAGAAAAAAGGGAGAGACAGCATTCATAACGAAGCGGAAAACATGCGCCAAAAGGCTAGGTATCATACCAAAGGAGAGACTGCGGAGTGCACTCGAGTATAAAGGAAAGTCACAAAGTATGTACTCCGGAAACAAGTGAACATGTGTCGTGTCTTTAAAAAAAAAAAAGAAAGAAAGAAAAGCCCATACGACGAATGAGTTATGTGCGACGAACGCAAGTCAGAAGGTGTTGTGTCAAATCGGGCAAAAGTGAAAAAGGCCACCCAAACGCCGGTAATGCAAAAGATGTCGATCAACATCGAAGATTTTACCCTCCCTTTTGGTAATCCAATCTAAGAAACTCGACGGAACGCGTGGGCCAGGCTGAGTCCGTTAGGCATATTGATAATGCCAGGACGGCGTGATTATCTCCGTTGCTGCTGGCAGACCCTTGAGCCGAACCCCCTTAGTCGACATATATAACACAAGCCATGGATGTTGCATCATAGCACGATGCAGCATGAGCTTTTACGCTTTTCGAACGTGAGAAGAGCAGCACGTGTAGCAGCTTCAAAGACGTCGTCAACCCCCTCCCCGGTCAAGGAGGAGCATTCCAAGTACTTTCTGGCGCCGATTTGAGTCGAAATGTCACTTCCTTCCTTCGATGTGACGAATTTTAGGGACTTCTTTCTCATCTCCTCAATTGCGAGAGGGTCTTCCCGGAGATCTTTCTTCAAGCCAACTAGGATTATCGGCACACCTGGGCACCGCTCATTGGCCTCCTCGATCCACTGCAGTTGAATTAGGTGAATCTGGTCCAGTAAGTGGCGGGGAAAGTGAGGCACTAACCTTGTGCTTGACGTTCTCCAAGGAATCCGGAGTATCCACCGAGAACCCGATCAGAATCACATGCGCTTTGGAATATGCTAGCGGACGTAACCGTTCATAGTCTTCTTGGCCAGCCGTATCCCATAATGCTAATTGTACCGACCGGCCATCAACTCTGCAATCCGTCACATAATTTTCGAAAACCGTGGGGACCTGGATTAACACGCGCAACAGTCAGACCATGCACTAGGCAGACACCATAATTGAGAGGGCACAGGGTTACGGACATAATGCTGTCAAACAAACTCAACAGTTAGCTTGTGTCTTATGCACTCTTATCGGACTTGACGTAATCCAGGCAGTACTTACAGTCGGAAAATAACCAAGGGTGAAGACACTCAGCAAACTAGTTTTCCCACAAGCACCATCTCCAATAATCACCAACTTCCTATGGTAATTATCAAATCAGCATCATAATGAACGGAAGCAGGATTGAACGCAAGCTCCAGTTTCAATTTCCGAGCCACGAGAGGGGACACAGTAGAAGTGACTATCTTGAGAGCGCATGAAAGGAGTAGAACTCCGGTAAAAAAAAAAGAAAAATAGCAATGAATAGTCGGACGTTTTCGACCCACTTCGCCGATGCAGACATTGTCGCACATACCTTCGCATAACATTGTCATTTTGTTGTTGGGCCATTTTCTACGTGGGCTGACACTTCGTTATCCCTTCGTCAAGACAACACAGGGGTGCTGAACGAAGGGGGACAAGGAACGCGACCTGAGTGGAGGGTGGGCGTTGATATGCCCTGGTCGGAGCTTTGGACTTTCAGGTACCAGCTGTAGTAAATCACTGGGGGTGGAAGACTTGACGGGTGGTGTTCTTTGATAGCAGCCTAAGAAAAAGAGGGGGACAATAAATTGTTGCGGAATCCCCTCCTCCGAACCAGGTAACTAGTAGTAAGTAACTAAGTGGAATGATGATTGAAGATGATGGGCGTTTTGGGGAGGGAAAAAAAGACGAGTAGTTAGTCGGTGGTTCTGGAAGGCGGTCGAGGTGAGGCTGAGGAGACTAAAAAAGGTTCAATGAGATTGATCGGCCACACATTTTGGGGGAGGGGAAAAGAAAGGAAAGAAAGGATGTTTGGTCTGGGTTCTGCCAGTGTCAAGAAATTCAATCCAATTGTACGCAAGTATGGGTAATGAACCTGGAATGGGAAGATCCACTTTAATTACACTTACACGGGACTTGACAGGGAGCCACTTCGGTCTGATTGGTGCCTGGCTCCCTTTTCCTTACGGGTAACGGTACCGATTCAGGCCCGAAGAAACACGAACAATATAATTGGTAAGAATCGAAAACAATTGAAAGAAGTAGGGGAAAAGAAATAGGTAGGTAAGTATAATGACAATACATATACACTCACTCACTTTCACTTTCACTTTCGAAGAGTCCAAGTTTAAATAAACCGGGACCATGGAAGCCCGAGAAGTTAGAACCAGTCACTGATATTAATAGCTATCGTCCATCGTCCATAATCAACGCAAAGGATGAGATCGGCCGATGGTTGCCGCAGCTGAAAGGCAAAGCCAAGGTCAATCCACTTGTTACTAAGGTTAGAGGTTTGTCTCAGACATCGACCGGCTAGACGTTCATAATTACCGTATAGTCGCTGTCACTATTCCCTTTCAGTGGAGGAATGCGCTGCGACAGCCGACAGGAGGGGGACTTTGGATCCAGTTAATAATAGACCGAAGGAATCCTGTCTTGCATTTCCCCCGGAGTTGCCGAAACTATTTCATGTTATCACCATCTTGAATCTTCTTCTTCTTCTTCTTCTCGGTCTTCCGCCGTATATACTTCAGTTATCTTCAAGATCAGCCGTGGTTTTTCTACAACGGTCGACGGCATATCGCTGAACCTAATAATTTGGATCAGGAACTAACTTCCCCACCGAGTTGTAACGTTCAAACAAATTTAATTTTAAAGAATATTAAATAAAATCCATAATCATAAAAAAAGGTACTATCCGGACATGGGTTCTAGCCCTGTAACTCATATCGGTCAATGTACTCTAGTTGTAAAAGACGTAGAATCCCGGTATTATATAATCTTAGCTAATGATTGCAAACCAATAGAGAAGAAAAGAAAAGAAAGTGCTCCATACTTCGAGTTGAATAAGGGTGTTGATGACGCTGATGAGCATGGACATCACATGATGGACAGCTTGTGGTCTACCGCCCGGCAGAATGACCACATGGAATCCTGATAAATGGCCTACCATTGAATGCCCGATTTCTCAGGCCATCAGCCTCGCTTGCGGCGGCTATCCTTTTGCGGCCAGCGGCACGGCAACCATCCAGAGCCCAAAGTCCGGCGTCAAGATCCACCATCCGAATCTACGCTCATCATCTTGAACCAATTTCACTATCCCGCTTTGGCTGCGCTTGTTCGCCGACGACCAGCGTAGTTCTTGTCCATTTCCCTCCTCGATCCCCTAAGTTTCTCCGGCCACATTGGCCCCCTCTCCGCTCGCCCTTGACGCCTGGGCCCCCTCGCCGTGCGGCTCGGGTCCTTTCCACCCCTCTCCGCCCTCATTCCCCGTGTGTCGGCCTGGCGTCTGACCTTGACGAACCTTTGCTCTCCACCCGCCACTCGTTTACTCCCACCAGAACACCCAGACTTGGAGCTCGATTGTCCCCTTTTGTTCCCCCCACCGGAAATAAGCAGCTCGGACTCGTTTGAGAGAGATTGCTGGTGAACTGTTGAGTGGTCACTGGCGATTATATAAGCGTCCTTCCTCTGACCAGTTCGCGCAACGTTTAGCATGGTGGCTGGGCTGGAAGAACGCTAGAAGACCTTCCGCCATCTGTCTAGACCTACAAAAGACAACATATGATCCCATGGCTCCCCCACGTCCTCCCCGATCTCCTCCTAGCTCCACAATGTCAGATCATATGTCGAGTGCACCTCCACGCCCCACCAATGGCGACATTCACACTCCGAATGCAAACCTTCCCCCATCGTCGATAGATACGAAGCCTATGACAGTGAACCGCAAGAAACAGAAACGCCGCCAGAAGCAGGCCGCTCGTTTGGCCGCGGAGCGCCAGTCAGAAAATGGAGTCGTACCCCCGGATGCCGCAGACCGAAACGGCCTCGGTCCCGCTGGGCCAGGAAGTCACATATCCGAAGAACTGGACATCGATCACTCTGTGAATGGAGACGCGTATCACGATGATGAACTAGACGCTTTCAGCGCGCATCAAGATTTCCAGCCGGACATGAACGGGCCCGATGATCAGAAATCGACGAGTCGAAAATCAAAAAAGAAAAAGGGAAAGAAAAACCGTGCCAACTCGCAAACTCTTGGTGATGAAAGTCCCACTCCACTATCAACCCCCTCCGTTTGCATGCCACACCCTCTTCCCCCGCCTCTCCCCCCGCATCTGGGCCCGCGCACAATTGTCAAACCGTCCAAAGATCGCAGCATATGGAACACCTCCACGCAAGAAGAACGCGAGAATATCAAAACATTCTGGCTCGAGTTAGGCGAGGAGGAACGAAGACAGCTAGTCAAAGTGGAAAAAGATGCGGTATTAAAGAAGATGAAGGAACAACAAAAACATTCGTGCAGCTGCACCGTATGTGGAAGGAAGAGGACGGCGATTGAAGAAGAGCTGGAGGTGCTGTACGATGCCTATTATGAAGAGCTAGAACAATACGCCAACAACAATCAAGGGTCGTTCGAGAAAGGCGCACCGATTGTCCCCCCGCCCCGGCTCTATCAACCACCGCTGCGATCGCCCGGCCAACATACTCGGACACATGGTCAATACCACCCCTCACGAGGTCGCATTCACGAGCTACCTGAGGATGATGATGAGGATTTGGAGGACGATTACGACGAGGATGATGAGGACGATGAACCGTACAGTGATGATGATTTCGAAGACGAAGAAACGCGTGCAGCTCGTGCAGATTTCTTTGCCTTTGGGAACAGTTTAACTGTCAAAGGTAAGACAAAATCGCTGCCTATATATGTTTCCCCTCCCCCCCTTGGTTTTCTTTTTCTTTTCTTTTCTTTTTTTCTTCTAGAGTATGCGGGCTGATTTCATTTCAATTTTTGTTGGCTCAGACGGAATTCTCACAGTTGCAGACGATCTCTTAAAGAATGACGGGAAGCATTTTATCGATATGATGGAACAACTGGCCGAACGTCGAATGCAACGAGAGGAAGATACGCAGTACGGAATAGCCGCAGCACATCAGTCCCTCCATAGCGGTCATAACCATGGTCCTTATGACGACGAGGATTATGATGACGAAGAGGACGACGACTACGATAGTCAAGAGGAAGAAGACTATGAGGAGGACGAGATGGTCTGTCCTGGAGTCAACTATTTCCCCGACAACATGTTGCAGTGCAAGCTGACACATTGTTCTCAGGATGCTATGACGGAGGAGCAACGGATGGAGGAAGGCCGGCGAATGTTCCAAATTTTTGCAGCTCGAATGTTCGAACAGCGTGTATTGACTGCCTACCGAGAGAAGGTTGCTGAGCAACGTCAGCAGAAGCTGATTGAAGAGCTCATGGAGGAGCAAACCCGCAACGAACAGCGAAATGCCAAGAAAGCTCGAGAAGCGGAGAAGAGGAAGGAGAAGAAACGTCTTCAGAAACAAGCCAAAGACGAGGAAAAGGCCCGAAGGGAAGCTGAGAAGGCCGCAGAGGAAGCCGCAGCCAAAGCTGAGCATGAGAGGAAGTTAGAGGAACAGAAGAAGAAGCGAGAAGAGCAACGGAAGAAGCGAGAAGCCGAGCGGAAGGCCCAGGAGGAGGAGCGCGCGCGAAAAGAAGCAGAGAAACAACGGCGGCTGCGCGAAGAAAGAGAACGACAAGCGGATGCGGAACGAAAACAACGGGAGCAGAAGGAGCAGGAGAAGAGACGGCGTGAAGAGACCCGGAGAAAGGAGCGGGAGGAACGTGAGTCGCGAGAGAAGAAGGCGAAAGAGGAGCGCGAGCGCAAGGCTCGTGAAGAGCAAGCAAAGAAGGCTGGGCAAGAAACTCAAGAGCGCAAACGTTCATCGCAACAAGGACCGGTACCTATTGCATCAACTATGCACTTTCCAGGACTTCCAGGTCACCTTCAGTCTCCGCACTACCAATCTGCTACACCAATTGTACCTAAGGCGCCTACTCCTGTCAAGCCCCGTCAACCATCCCAGCAAGGCTCTCACACATCTTCCCCACGGTCTCAACCGGCCAGCACCGAACCGTCACAAGTGTCCATCTCTCCACGGTCGATGGCGCCATCCCAGTCGTCCGGAGCCTCGAGTGTAACCTCCAAACAAGGTTACGCTCATCAACCGATGCTTCATCATCCCCAACCCTCAACACCACTGTCGCCACTTGGATCGATAGGGAGGTCTTTCCCTCCCGGATTCTCGAATGGACTACCACCAAACCCCCCTGGTTTGGCTGGGATTGTCCCTCGACCGCCAATCGGCCATGAGTTGCCCACGTACCCACCGCATTCTACGCCTCTCATGAGTCAACTACGAGGATTTACTGCACCTAACGGAATTCCTGTGCCTCCCCCGGGTATAAATGGAGCCCGTCCGATACCCCCTGGACGAGGGTTTCCGCTTGATCCAGGACACAGCCTTGCATTCCATTCTCAACAGCCACTATCAGGACCATTCGCTACACAGCCAGGTGGTTTAGCACACGGACATACTAGACAGCCCTCAGGCTCATTTGAGAGGTCTCCCCTCGATAGTCATGCTCAACCGTTCTCTATCTCCCGACCGAGCCCCATCAAGCGTCCATCCAGTACTCAGCAAGAACAGGGTGAACCTAATCACGCTATGCAGCGTCATATGGACAGCTTGAGTGCCCAGCTGGGTAGCAGTGCCCTTCTTGACGATACTGACATTCCTTTCACATCGAACTTGTCACAGTCACTCCCTGGTGCAACCGCCCCGGGG